AGACACATCTTGCTTAACTTGCCTGCTGAAAGGGCCCAGGACCACTGGCAGATTGACAGCCAAGCACATAAGAGCACAGCCAATGCCCAAATCTTAGTTTCTAAATATGTGCCTCAATAAAAGGGCCCAGGGCTGTTGGGAGAAATGGCTGATTTTAGGACTGTGGCAGGAAACATGCAAAGTGAACCTGGAGCATACTGAAGTCTTAGTAAACAAAGAGATGCTTTAAAAACAGAGAAAGCATGCCCTGGGACACGGGCCTTAACCCGAAAGTTCCTAAAGATGAGTGGTTAAACAATTTGAGCCAAAAACAAGTAACACAGACTAAGTACATATGCTGAGTTCGTGCAGATACTGATAAATGATTAAATGGACAAATAAACGAATGAGAAGGGACAGTTTTCCTTAGAGAAAAATTCCAAATGATATGTAAACTCTTCCCTCTCCAAGGGTTGAAACTTAATTCCCCCCACTGCCCTTGGGTGTGGGCAGGACCTAGCAATTTGTTTCCAAGCAGTAAAGTACAGAGAACTACAGTAGAGGGAGGCGAACATGATCTTGGCCAGACAGTGAGCGCAGACAGCAGGCACCCCCTGATTTCATATAATGAGAAGGGCATTTCACCTGCCGCCCCCACCACCCCCATCAAAAGGTAAGAAGAATGCAGACAAACCTAACATTCAGGATGTTTTGCAAAACACCTGACTAGTCCTCTTCAATACAGTCAAGGTCATGAAAAACAAGGAAAGTCTGAGAAACTGTTGCAGACCAGAGATACTTAAGGAGATGCGACAGAGAAGCCCAATGTTGTCTCCTGGATGAGATTCTGGAACAGAAAGGGGGCATTGGTGGGGATGGGGGGTGGGGTAAGGATAAAATTCAAATAAAGCCTAACTCAAAAGAAACAAACAAACACAAACCTCTTCCCTGGGGTTATGGGCTATGGCTTTATCCAGGGCCTCACTCCTCACTGAGTTGCTGTCTCTGTGGTTTTTCAGTCTCAGCCTCCTTTGACGGGAAGCAGCATCTGCGGACTCTGCCCGTGGTGAACAGCATCGGGTACGTGCTCCGCTTCCTTGCCAAGCTGTGCCGGAGCCTCCTATGTGACGACCTCTTCAGTCACCAGCCCTTCCCCAGGGGCTCCAGTGCATCTAGGGAGGCCCAGGAGACCGAGGAAGACAGGAAGGAGTCAGGTAGGTTTTCGATCCTCCCAGCTGGGAGGTTCCAGGTGCCCTGCTCACAAGGGCAGGCGAAGTCCAGGGAACCCCACAGCTCCTGGGAGCTTTCTGCTGGAGGCCCACGTGTGCCAGGGCTACAGAGAACCTAGTTGGTCTCGCTCCAGGGTGTGGTGGGGAGAGCTGCTCCATTATAACTTTTAGGCTTATATCGTCAGAATTTAGGTCATAGACCATGTTGCATATAATAAATGAGCTTCTGCACTTTCTTCCAACTAAAAGTCTTGGACACTGATTCATCATTATTGAATAGTTGAAGGACCATTGTTCTAAGGAACTAAGACGTTCCGAAGAAACAAAGGCTAAATATATTGGTCCTGTCAAGAGCTTCAAATGCTTCCACATGTCCATAAAATGTACAAGGGAGTGGCTATTATTGCAGGGATTTGACTCGATCATAAATCAAATATATCTTCCAGTGAGAATTAGAGTTGCTCTCTTATCACAGAATGACCCTTTTGTACCACCTGCCCCAGAATAGCATGCATGGGTTGGCCCTGGTTAGGGCAGTAAGCCCACTTAAGAAAACTGGGCTAGATGCAGACAGGAGGTGCTTCCTCCTGACTTTGCAGCCTGAGTTATAGACTTGCGAAGAGTTAAATATGTCTCCAGGTTCTGGATTCCAGGTCTCCAAAGATGAGCAGATGTGGTCTTTCTGTTTTTCTGGAAGCAGCATTGTTAATCTATAAAGCACACCGACAGTGAAACTGGAATCTAGTTATTATGTCATTCTGCAAACATTTGCTGAACCTCCTCTGTACCAAGCACCATGTCAGAATTTGTCTTGGGATAAGACAAACACACAAGCTTAGAAAAGTTTCTGAGGAATGGAGTGACTGATGAATAACGGACACAAATATAGCTGCAGTCGTGTTCATAGACAGACTTCCAGCATGCAACAGAGTGTACTCACAAGTAAGAGTGGCCGCTTAAGCTAGAAGAATAGTGGGGAAGCATACACTCAGATTTTCTCAGATACTGTGAAGAACATTCTCTACAATTTACTTCAATCTCTCTGAAATCTGGCAACTAGGAAGAAATCTGACCTTTCCAAAGAAAATTAGCTGAATAAATATGGTTAGTGTAGGCAGATGCTATGTTCTCCTGTGCTTTTCCTGATCTGTGTGAGCCTGGAGAATCTTCCCATCTCTCTGGGTCTCATTTTCTTATGTTAACTGAGAGTAAATTTGCTTATGTCTAATGTTCCTCCTGAGCCTGGCAGCTTTTATTTCTGGCCTTTTCTACAAACCTTAGTGGGCTCAGAAACACATTCTAAAACCAATGTATCTTCTAGTGACTCTTGCAACGAGAATGGCTGACTTCAGAATGGCAGCATTTTCAAACCCTTGAATCATTGCGACTCTGACTAAGCCATGACCCATGGGACAACTGCAGTCACATAATTCACACTTTTCAGGCTTCACATTTACCCCTAGTCATGGATGACATTTAGGACAAGTCTTGTGATTTTTCTGGCTCCTTTCAGGTAACATAGCATTCTCTAGCCAACGACTAGTATGTTCAGGTCAGTGTGATAATCAACCTTTCATTCGAAGTATTTCCCTCTTGCAGATCAGGCCTGCTGGCGTGGACTTGATTCTCTCCACCCCATTCTGCCACCTCTTGTTAGGGGCAGGGCCCTTTCCTGCTCATGCCCTTCACAATCAGAGTGGGGGAAGGAGGAAGGTGACAGAGCGTCCACAGGGCCAGGCCCACTGTGGCTTGGCATTGTGCCCCCAGATTCAAGCAAGGGTTTACAGCTGATTCTCACTATGTGGGCTCCATCGTGGGCCCTTTGGTCAACCTACCTGCCTCACTGCGGGTAACTCTTGGACAAACGTAACTCTTCGCTGGCTGGTCACCCACAGTTCCTTTCACAGTCTCAAGGCATCTCAAGGTAAATCTCTAGCTTCTTGTTGCAGAGGTGCCAGAGGACAGATAGTCCTGAGGAAAGTCACCGAGGCAATTTCACTTCAGGTCACTCTTCTGATGCCCACGTCTGGTCCCTGAGAAAAAACTCACAGTCTTTTGCCCAAGAGATTCTGGGCGTGCATGCTAATCCCTGTAGACAGCTGTCTCCTGTTCTGCCATCAGAGCAGGCAGAGTTTTAGATTTCTTATGGGAATCCATTGTGTCGCTCCAGCTCCACAGCAACATCAACTCTTCATCGAGGTACGTGGAAACCCTGGGAATATGCTGGACATTTCTCTCCTTGTCATCTTTCAAGTTCTTTGCCTATTTTTTAACTTCTTCAGTCTCTTTTGCAGGGGGTCATGTGTGGGTGTAAACGTCGTTCCCATCATGTCTTTTTGCAAGATCTGTCCATTTCACTGCTGTGTGGTATCTATTGTCTTGCAAACTCAGTCAAAACCGAAACTAAAGTAGTTTCATTTTGACATCCTGTCCCTGTCCCTCTTCAGCTTTCCTTAAGTGATCACTGAGGAAACTTGGTTTCCACCTTATACACATGAGCCTTTTTTGGAGAAAGGGACTGGTGAGGTCTTTGGTAATTTTGGGCCCCATCTCCATGCGGACCATGTATCTCCTAAACCAGTTAGTTTGTCTGTGATTTCCAGAAGATAATGAATCAGATGATAAGGAAATGCAAAGTCACAACACATAAGGAACTGCCAAATGAACTGTGTCATTTGTGGTAGAAAATTGGAAGATTTTGAGGAAGATATAATTTCCTGTCCCATTATATGACGGCAGGTTGTATGGCTTTGTTCTCTGGTCTGACAGTAGACTTAATTAAACATAAGGCCTCACCATTCAAATTCTGGTCAGGTCCAGCCATCACCCAAGAAAGGCAAAACACAGCAAACTTCCCAAGCTTTATAACCATAGGACCCTGGTGTTTTGAAGACACATCAAAGTTTGAGAAGCAAGCATTTGAGAAGCCCTCTCCTAGGGCCCTCCCTGGTGGCGTAGCAGGTTGGCATGCAACATTGCAAGCTAGCCGCAGCAGCTTCAGTGCGAGTTCAATTTCCAGCCCTGGAAGTGACCCACATGGTGCAGCAGACCTCTCCTGACCCACCCACTGCTCTCCTCAGCAATGTGCTTCATCAATCTACCTGTTCTGCTTCCCAGTCTGTCTCTGGTGAGGCCTTTCACCACCCCTGCTTCTCTGGCCTGCTCCTCTGGCTTGTACCCCAGTTTTGTATGTATAAATAAATAAATCTTTAAAAAAAAGAAGCCCTCTCCTAGGTGGAGATCTTGGCTGCTGAATAACCAGCTGGAAGGTAGCCAGTGGAGCTAACATTACAAGGAAATTTGCAAAATCAGAGCTGTTCAGGAGTGGAAGGGGCTGGCTGCTAGGAGTGACCTCGCCATTATTAATGGCAAGTAAGTGCAGCTGTCCACTTGTTAGTCCCACTGGGGTAAACTCTGGCAACCCAGAGGAGCAAGATGTCCTCTTTGGTCCCTTTCAGGGTGAGCCATAGCTCAAGGGGCCACCCTGGACAGGGTGGCTGGGGAGCCCCAGAGCGAGGGTGAGGCCACAAAGACAGAGGAGCTCACATTTGAGCAGAGACATGGCTCTTTCCAAGTGTCTTCCTTAGACTTTGAAATAAAAACTCTGCAAATGACCTTTTCTTTGTGCAGGAAAAACCTGTCTTCAGACTACCAACTGCTTGAATTCAGTTTGGAAGGTAGAATTCCTGACTCCAGCCAAGGGTCTTCAGTCATTTTCTCCAACTCTCTTAACTGCCACCCCAAACCTGTTTTAATAGAGCTGGGTTCTCAAAGAGATGGAGGCAGAGGCATGGACTTGATCCCTTGTGGTTCTGTCCGAAGATGATGATGTAGGAAACATTACCTTCCATTTGACTGTTGAAAAAACAATCTCAATTGCAAATAACCTTTAGCCACCACTTCTCAAACTTTTATATCTTCAGGAACCACCTGGGAATCTTGTTTAAAATGTAGATTCTGGCTCAATAGGGCTGGGAGGGGATCTAGGAGGCAGCATTTCTAACAGGCACCCCTGTGATGTCAGTGCTGCTGGTTGGGGACCCCACTCCAGGAGTAAATGTCAGTTGGCAGAGTCCTGCTCACACAGCGAAACTTGTTCAGGTTTCCTGGGCCTGTGCTGGGACTTTGCCTCCTGTCCACGTGTTGTCCTGAAGGTGAACCAATGTCCTAGGGAGGTGTCGAGGTACTAGAGAAGCAGAGAAAGGATGAGGGGCCATGCCAGGAAAACCAGAGAAGAAAGAGGAGGTTTGCAGGGCCGGGGAGGAAGGCAAAGGAGAGATGGCAGGCAGAAGTCTCAGTGTGGGCTGGTCACCTCCTGCGGTAGGGTCTCTGCCGCCTTAAATTTCCCTGAGCCCCTAGAAGTGTCCATCAGTCCCCACCACCCCAGGCCCTTGTTTGCACATCAATAATGACCTTGGCTTCTGCCTGCTATTGCTGGCCTCTGGGTCCAGATCTATTTTCCCCTGTTAGCGAGGGGCAGGGCTGCGCAGTCCCCTGTAGAGCCTGAAACATAATAATTCGACAGTAAATATTTACTGACATGAATTCTGCGCACTACAACAGAACAAATTGTCTTTTCACTAAGACAAGGGGAGATCTTTGGAAACCACAAATGTGATAGCTGAACTCCTGTGCAAGATCTTCTTTAGTGATTGGTTTCCTGCCTTTTGAAGGTTTAGCAGGATAGGAACAAATTGTTTACTTTCTTGTTGAGTAGCTTCTTTCGATAAGCAGATGGTCGTTGGGCAATGAGAAAGGACATTCCTTTTTAAAATTTCTTATTGAAGTAACCTGGCATCATAACATTTTATACGTTTCAGATATTTACTATATTATACACACACACACACACGCACACACATATTTAGACACCACATTGAGTTTACTACTCAACGTTCTTTTACCATACAAGTGACTCCTTTTGCCAGATTTACTGATTCTCTCCCCTCCCTTCTGGTAACCACCAATTAATGTGGCCTTATAGT